TTTCTTTCCCGAACTGCATGCGGATTTTCATGCGACCAAATATGTTGATTATGAACATTTACCACTCCACGTCTAGTGAAGCATGACTCATCGGTCCATAAAACATTACTTAAAAACTCCCTATTATTATCAGTTCTATCAAGAATCCACTGACAAAATGTGATTCTTCGTTCTCTGTCCCCTGGCTGTAGTCCTTGCACAGATTGCAAATGGTAAGGACGTCTATGGTCGTTTAACCTTATTCTGCTTTCAATTTTAAAATATTTGCAGGCACAGCCTACTTCTAAAAATTATCGAGATACTGACTTTTTAACGTTATTTTATCATAAATAATTAAAAATGCATCGGACCTTAAAAATCGAAATATCTCAAAAACGGCTAACTAAAACAAAAATTCACAAAAGAGCTTTTTTATGTTGAAAAGTGCGAAGAATCAGTTTTATTCAAAAAGCAAAAAATTGCACTAAAAAAAAATTGTCGGTCATTTCAATACACTACAGGTACAGTAGAGAGCGCCCTCTAGCGGCTACAGTAAAACTATGCCCATGGTTCGTTTTGTCGTACCAAAAAACCCTTGTATACCAATTTTCACTGTTATGCATCAAATATTGTTCGAAATATTTAAAAAAAAACTACTTTAGAAAGTAAATTTAAACACCCTGTATTTCGGAAGCCACGCATTTTTCGACCCATGTTTATATAGACTTTATGCATTAATTTCAAAAGTTCTATCGAATCTTAAAGTTATGCAACAATAAACTGAAACACCCTGTATATGTAGCATTGATACATTTGAATCCGAAAATAAGTAGACTTACTGGTTCACGAATTCTCACGGACATAGACATCTTCAACCCTGAAACAAAAATTTGGAAAATGGGCCATCTTAACTACAGTTTAGATTGTCGTGATAGCTGGTCTTGTCCAATTTCCTCAGACTAACTCACCAGACAATAATTCTGTGTCCGCTTATCGCCCATACCGATCCGGGGTACCCCCATTCAGAGACCAAACTGCGTAAAATTGCTCAATTAATCTAGTCAAAGCCATTTCATAACGTCGTTTCAAGTGTTAAATCTGTAGTTGTCATAATAATTGTTACCCGGCAGGTTTATGAGACACTGATAAATTCTCGTCCTATGTATGAAACGCGGCTGGCGCAGTGACGAAGGTTGACAGTGGAATCTTTAATTAAGTTATTAATAGCCTGAAGGCAAAATGTAACCAGTAGAGTATCATATTTTAACTTTATGGAGATAGATAGAGAGAAACCGCTGGTAGAATATTGCACACTTTTTTCGGGACACCCTGTATATAGCACGAAATTAAGTAGTACTTGAACGAAGGAAGAAAGACAGATTTTGAATACGATCCAAACTCGCAAACTCACTCACGCTGATCACGTGATGCGACATCCCGAAAAAAAAATTCGTCATGCCTAATAATGAATTCGTCAATTTGTCCAAACAATACTGTAATTCCCCGCAACATACATCACTCATATAAATACGCCGCTATTATAAACACACAATTTCCAACGCTGAGCTGAAATTGGTGCTGAAGTTCGTAATGGGGGATGTTTAATCAACTCACTGCACACGATAATGGTGAGATGCAAAAGTTTTGAATACGAGGTCAAAGGTAATTATGAGAGTGAATGCAAATCACTTGCGAAACTTTAAACAATGCATATATGCAATCGTATGATCATGCGAAGCACCAAAAGCAGAAAATATATCCCAGCGTTTGCTGTTTTATGGTTATTGTGATACGTGAATGCATTTTTCAAGTGGGATACGGGCTCATGGATATTAAATAGCATTTTTCTGCTCAGAGCGTGTTTTGGGAATTATACAGGGTGTCCCGAAAAAAGTGTGCAATATTCTACCAGCGGTTTCTAGAGCTTAAAATAGGAAGAAAAGTTATATAAACATAGGTCTTTTAAAGCGGCTCCCTGAAGATGGTTTTTCCTTTCCGAAACGTGTTGAGATAAAGACATAAAATTTGGTATTCTAGCCTAGTTTTTTATGCTGAATTTAATAATATTAACAATAGACAGTTTTGTCAAACTATATATGAGGAAAGTAATGTCACATCATCATGGCGTTATGAGAATATTACATCATAAAAAATCTTCATTTTGAAGATTGCATTGGTTGCATGGGTGAACACAGAAAACCGATCCCTCTGTATCTCGACAGGCACTGTACTTGCTGTTCTAGAAATAGCACCACTTTTTTAATGTATAGATAAAAGGTCTTTCTGTTGAAAATGGGAAATGGGTGACCTTTATGTAGCTCGTTTTTCGAAAAATGTATCTGAAATTCTGATATTTTAAGCTGAATCTCAATAATTTATTAGTCAGATAGACATTCCCAAAAGAACATTGATATAACATAATAACGTGTTCATGATTAGATGTTGAGTACCTAGTCTTCAATGAGCAAATTCACGCACAAGTGGCAGCCTGCTGATCTACCATTTTGAATGATAATTGTTTTATAGTCAACGCCAAACAAAGTGGCGTGCACGTCATCAAGGTGGGTGTGTTGAAAAATTTACATTGTTGCCAAACTTTTTGTAAAATAATAAAATTTATTATTTACATATCTAGGTTTATAAGCAATATTAACCTCAAATGAGAACAAAAATAATAGTATAATAAAATTATAGATCTGTACTTGCATAATCATTAAGTATGACAATTATTGATCAGATGACACTATGAAACTACCATATTTAATTGATAGCCTAAAGGTACTGAATAAAATTCCAAATGGGGTCCTCCAAATTTTATGCATGGTATTTATTTTACAGAATTCATACAGAAAAATGCATTCTAAAATTAGGTAAGCTACTGGTGTAAGCTTTTTCTGTACAATAAAGTTAGTCGGAGTTTCTTTCTTCAGCGCTGTCTGAATCTGAATCTTCATCACTCTCAAAGTTGATTATTAAAGGTTCGATGTCTGGTCGATCAAAAATTCGTTCTCTTTCATACCATTTAAAAATTTCTTGCTCAGTATGTCGAACACTATTTTTCCACATGTCTGGGGTAACCGTTTGTAGAGCCTCGTTCCACATATCCAAACAGTCTTTTTCACTGTTACCATCTCTACCAATATGTCTGTTATAGTAACCTTTTGCTATGCCCCAAATTAACTCAATAGGGTTAAATATACAATGGTAAGGAGGCAGACGAAGAACTTTGTGCCCATGTTGTTCCGCCAATTCATCAATCACGTATATTTTAGGTGGTTTGTTTCTAAAAAAGCAGTTATTTTAAGAATAGGAATAAACAAAGGAAATATAAACTGTCGACCAAAATATATATAATTAAGAAGCATTATGTACCGAGCAACAATACTCAATAGCTCTGTTTTAAACATTGTGTTTAAAAATGGTATGTTTTGATTTGTCAACCAGTCTTGGATATTTTTTTTTGTCCATGCATTGTTGGGCACTTTGTTCAATATCATGCTGTGATAAGGGGCGTTATCCAGTATAATCATAGATGGACTCTCCAATTTTTCTAATAACTGATGTTGAAACCATTTCAAAAAATTGTCCTGGTTCATCTCTCCATGGTAATCGCTCAATTTTGTTTTCGAAGAAAATATCGCTTCACTACCCTCAATAAACCCATTTTCATTTCCAGCATGTAATATAATGTATCTAAAATATATTATTTTTAAATTTTATAGTGCAAATTGTGTAAAAGTACATACCTTTTACCATCTGTTTTAATAGCTTTCACGCTTTTTTGGTTTCCATTTTGCCAAGAGCGACCTATGGTCCCATTTTGAAATATCCAAGTTTCATCGAGGAAGACAAACTGGTATAAGGCCTCAACCTTGGCTTGATTGTATTGCCTTAGAAATTCCACCCTTTTCAAAGCTATACTTGGTAGTTCCATGAGCCCTCGTCGCGGATTGTCCTTAAGCCACTTAAATCCAAGATCTCTAAGCAACCGCCTTAAAGACGTGGCACTACCATCAAATAATGCCCTATCTCTTAATCGAGACCATAAAGTTTGTATCGTAACTTGTTCTTCTGAAACCATGTGTAATATGACATTATAATTTAGTTAACAAATTAATGCAAATTTCTGATAAGTTATTATAATAAGATCTTACTTTTGTGATACATATTATAGATCACTTCTCGAATGGCACTTGTATCCAATGTCCTTAAACTAATTTTTAAAGCAGCAGCAACACGCTACAAAAAATGAAATAAAATTTCACTATTATTAATATACATTACATATAATTATTAGTAACCTACCTCTTGAACAGCATTTAAAGGCAACAAAGGCCCGTTGTTGTCCCTTTCTTGCTCAAAGTAGTGCATTAACGAGGCCACGAGTTCCTTACACCGACTATTTAACTGTTTGGGCATCTTTATATACCAAAATTGCCTTTATCTACTCGTAAAATGAATAATTTTGTTTTGAAACAAACAGTTGTTGATTTACAGTATGCGGGGCCAAAGGATTTATAAAGATTTGAAATGCCACAAATTGATTCAGTGTCAAAATTAATACAAATGTCAGTTCCCAGTTTAAATAAGTTTCAAGGTGACAATGTGTCAACGCTGCGAAATCGGTTTAGTGCGTTTACATGTCGATAAGTGATTGGAGCGTTTGCAAAACATTTTATTTCGCATAATGCGTCTAAATTTATCAGAAAGCAACTTATGTGATATTTTAATAACAATGTTTATATGACTATTAACCATAATAAGAGAGTAATGACCATTTTACAATTTATATATCATATTAATATGAAACTGCAATAGAGCAATTGTTTGTGATAGAAACCTAGGCATTAGGTCGGGGAATTTTTATCGTGATGACGTGCACGCCACTTTGTTTGGCGTTGACTGTATATTCCAGGCTTAACCAACGGAAGCCAAAACTCTGTCTAAAATAGAATCACAATCTAAGAACAGGGTTCATGATAAAGCTCAGTAGATCACGCATAGTTTTTCTTTTGTTTCAGACTGAGGAAACCCCTTTCCCCGAACGAGCTGGATGAAAATGCGCCCTTTCTGCAATATGCTACCTGGTCACCAGATGGCACTGCCGTCGCGTTCGTCTATGACAACGACATTTACTATAAGCCGAAGGTGGAAAAAGATCTAGTGTGCAGGTAAGGAAACACGAAATTCTGAAAAGTAGTTATTCAATCATGTGTGATCGCTTAACATTTTAGAAACCTTAAACCCTCATCGTCCGAAAGATTATGTACCATGGAATGCCCATCATATTCTAACGGATACAAATTCAGCAGTGATCGAGTAAGGTCACCCCACTATAAACTTCGCTCTCTATAACTTTCAAATTCCAAATGTCCAAAATAGACAATTGAATGCAATCCTTTAGTGTCATCTGTGGGTACAGAACACTTTGTATATAGTATAATTGGTAACTCCAAATTTTATTCATTTTGGCGTAATGGTAGACATTATGGATCTACTAATCAGCCGTCGGGCGCTGCGTGGGTTCGATTCCCGTTCCAAGAGAATTCTCTTAGCTATGGATGTTATGATTGTCCGTAGGTGGTAGGCGGTCTGTGACTGTCGAACGTGGAGGTGGTACCACCCGGTGGATCTCTAAGGTGGGGCCAGAATATGTGCATTTTGCATGCACACGTGTTCCTTTGTCCGTGTGGCGCCTGCCGCCTTTTCCCCGGTATCCATCTATTGCCCCTATTCCCCTGGGTGTTTAGGCGTGAGGCCTTCGTGGCGGTTTAAGTATAAAGATTTTTCTACCTAAGTATTTAATATACACTTTGACTTATGCAAAAAATGAGCATTCGTAGAACAGCAGTAAAAAACTTTGGACCAAGTTGTAGTAATACTACTCACCTTTTTTGAATGAGCACATTTTCTACTCTCAAGAAGTTCTTTGAAACTCATTATGGCCCTATAACACTTTTGCCTGCGCTTTCTCACCCTTTCCCATTTCGCCAGCAGTGCGGTCAGGATGTTTTTGAACTGAAAGGTTTAAGTAGGAATCCAGTGGGAATACAAAGTTTAACATTTAACGACAAAACCGTTCTTCACCACACACTTCTCGGGGTACCGGAAACAGAGGAGAAAAGTATCTAAAGAGCTTGGAGTTCCATGAGACAGAAACGGTGTCAAGGCCGATCTCGCTACCCAGCAAATGAGTTGTTCAAATCGTATTTATACAAAAGCCATAGTAGCAATGTGCTTAGGAAAGCCTTTTTGAACGAAATCTTAATCGAACAAACATTGATCAATTACTTGAAATTGACTTCTACTCTTTTCACATATAGGAGAGTGAATAAACAAATGGCTGTGCTAAGATAGCTTGCGTCAGCTCATAAAGCTCAACTCCCGTATCACAAATCATTCATAGGCATGCACATTCCCCATAATTTCTAGATATTTCAAATTATGGTGAGTGTATACCTGATTCGCAATAATATGAAGGTTCTTTTCTATAGAATGATACGTCACTATTTTATGTTCTTAATAGTTTTTGAAATTTAAATTAGCCAATACAAAATAGTTGTCGAGATTTGATAGCGATCAGCTAACGTGAAGTGGTCCAGCGTGCAGCGCCTTTATCAGTTAGCAACGATAATCACACTGTAACAAAGACACCGTTTTTATTGTCCAAAGTCTAATTTATTACTTTTACACTAATTTATAATACTTGTAATAATTTATGACAATTTACAGCGATGTTGATTGGACTACGACATTCCGTGTTGTTTGACTATCAAGACTGTGACTAACTGCTTCCGCCATCTGGTCGGGTACTTATCGCAATATTGACGCGTCGAGAGATGTTCCCTCGTTTTCCAGGTCAAGTCGTGGACTTCCATGGAAGTAATCTAGATGGCGACAGGTACTTCCAGACTGATCTCGAGTAGTTTTGAGACTCGTTCTAACCGTTTTAGACAGCGCCACAAGCGCTCACACACGATCGCGTTACTAGTTGCCTTGGATCGGCTTTGCAAAGGGACTCCTCACCGCTCAAGGTCCCAGCAATTCGAAGGATGAAATCTGATTTCCGATTGAAAAATGCTGTCAAACTGACAAGGTATTGGCTATTGGCCATGGCTATTGCTATTCAGCATAAATCGTGGCACCGCTAGACCGCTTTACGGTGGCTCATCGCTCCCATTGCCAAAACACGAAACATTTGTCAAGGTGTTTGAAGACCATCTAAAAAAGAAATGGTCGAACAAGCGATGAGGGTCAATGCTTACGATACTGACGTTGTGCAAGTCAATTAGTAAACATATCTATAAGGAAACGCTTAGGGATTTCACAACCTGGCAAAAGAGATTGAAAAGGTCTTAAAGGATTTGTGATTAAGGCCATACATAAGTCTGCTCTTAAGCTTAAAGACTTGCTAAGCAATTTCAAGGTCAAAGTAGATACATTTGGAAGGTGTGGAATTTATGATATCAGTGGTAGTGATTGTAATAGGGCTTATATTGCCCAAACTAAGAAGCCTATTAGAACTAGGTTCAAGAAACGCTTGGCTGATTCAAGACACAGTAGAACAGATACATCTGGAGTAGCAGAATACATGTTCAATAGTGAACATAAGATAGGTATAACTAATTTAAAACTAGTCCGTAATATTGACAACCTTAAAAAACTGGACACATATGAAAACTTAGAAATAGCTAAGAGGTTATTAACTGTACTGAACAAGAACAAAGGTTCTATTTCTAAAAGCCTGTTATATGCTCTAGATACTCAAAGGTGACGTGTACTTGTGACGTGTCATTCTGACAGATAGCGGCATCATGAACGTGGTTGGTAATGCAATTTATTAGGTAGTATTTCGTGTCGGGTATTAAAAAACCGGCTTGGCCAGTTGTTAAACTCTATAGTACTCATAAACAATGTCTTCTGGCCATTTGTGTGAAAGACAGGCAAGCAAGCTTGCAAATGGTTTCCAAATTAGCAAACAGTGATGCCTAAAACCTTAACAAATATACCGATACCATTTCTATAAGCACCTTGGGAACTCTCCTTACAAACAATCAATATTGGTTCTTATTGAATGAGGATCCTTGACTGGGACCCAACATTGACCATAAGATGATCAAACTGTTCCATTTACTGTTTACATTTATCCTCGTGGTCAACAATTTTGAATATACGAGTAAGACGTGTTCACATTCATCCTTTTGTAATTATTCACCAACCAGGGGCTTGATTCTAAATGAGTTTCTACCATTGAAATTGATTTCGATGGCGCTTATCATGGCAGTGTCAAAATTATCTTAGCTAATCAAGTATGTCGTCACAAGCCGCCATCGAAATCAATTTCAACGGTGGAAACTCATTTAGAATCAAGCCCCAGGTGGTTCGAGAGTCTTCCAATTCTAATATTTTCATTCATTCTTCCTTTCAGGATAACCAGCTCGGGACAAGCGGGTGTGATATTCAACGGCATCACAGACTGGTTATACGAAAGCTACATCCTGCACAAATCAGGCGTGGTGTGGTTCTCCCCGGACAGCGTGTACCTGCTATACGTGACCTTCAACGGCACCAATGTCGGCGAGTACAAGTACCCGTGGTACGATGGGGAAGAGGGGCAGTCCGTGTATCCGAAGATCAGGTCGTTCAGATATCCGAGGGTAAGCTGAAAATTTTGAGTTTATAGTTACTGTCGCCGAGGAGAAAGCATCACGAAACAATCACTGGATGCCCTGATGAAACACGTTTATTTATACAGCTCGTACGCCACTACCAGGAAGTGTGTGTATTATGCTGCTCCCTTCCTTTTCGGTACCAGACTATAGACTAGGGACCAATCGATACCGATACATACAACGGCCCAATTTGCCGGTATATGAATTGGCCGATATGACTGCACATCAGCCGATATAAACTACAATGCCATAAACGTTGAATACAAAAGAATTGAAGAAAAACACTACCTTGTTATAAGTAAAAGTAAACAGCTATTTTCAGCCTTCAGTTTTACTGAAATCGTGAGATGACTGCGTTTTGGTGATAGTATTTAGAAATATGATACTTCATGTTATTTGATATGTTCGCTGTTTCTCCCTAGGAAATATTTGTATTCTTTAGGTCATAAATTGCACTACCGATTTTTTGAGCCTTTTGATCAGTAACTTTGTCGACATATTCCCAGACAGCACTAGTCAGCCTTATTTTTCACGTTTTCGTACACTATTTGACTTGATACAACCAAAACAGCTGAAGTAAATCGTATTTCTTGTTTGCACAAAGTTGTGTTTGGAAACATTTACTTGTGTAACATTTGATTTCTACAAACACGGTGTCCACCACGGATTTATCGAAAAACACTGATTAAAAGAAAAAACGCCGATACACATCAAAAGATTTGTCAAGGGGGGGAACTTTTTAACTAAAAACTACTTCACCCTCTGATCCCAGGGTCATCCCCCTAAAATTTTAAATGTCAGGGGGTATCGAGTAATAGCTTGTTTGAAAGGTCTTTCGAAGTCCTTTATTTTAACGATTGATTTTTTAAAATCGGTCTATTCGTTTTCAAGAAAATTAGGAAAATCTTTATTTATCTGGATTTGTTTAAATAGAAAATAAAAAAAGAAAATAACACTTCTTATTTCAATAAATGTTCAAAATGTTTCCTGTTATTCGCCAAACAATTATATAGGCGATGTTCAAATTCCTGACGGACATTTTCAAAAACATGTTGTGGGATACCATTACAACTTTCGATGATGCGTTGACGAAGTTCATCCAAACTTTCAGGTTGGGGAGTAAACACAATAGATTTCAAATGGCCCCTTACAAAAAGGTCTAATGGCATCAAATCATTAGATCTAGCAGGCCATTCTATAGGCCCTCTTCGCCCTATCCATTTATCTGGAAACTCGTCCTCTAGCTATTGCCGAACCGGAAGAACATAGTGAGGAGGAGCGCCATCTGACTGGAAATATATTCCAGCCTCATCAAGAATACGATTTTTATAATTTTCTCGAAAACAAATCGACCGATTTTAAAAAAACGTCAAAATAAAGGACTTCGAAAGACCTTTCAAACAAGATGACAGAATGACCCTGGGGGGGCAAGGGCGGAATGGGGTGAAGTAGTTTTTGGTTAAAAAGTCGTCCCCCTTGACAAATCTTTTGACGTGTCTCAGCGTTTTTTCTTATAATCAGTGGGTTTCGATAAATCCGTGGTGGGAAGTATTCAAATGAACACCCTGTATGTACGTTTGCATGGCCTCGGGAGATTTTTGCAAATATATTTTTATATTTTGAGTCTATAACTTAATACCGTTTTTTTCATCAGAGGTTACAACTGTTTTATCTTTTTTGACAATCAAAACAAAAGCAGCCAAAGAGAATATATTAAGCGACATATAAAACCGAACACCCAGTTTAAATGATTTTATTTTAATAAAAGTTGGTGAATGTATTTATCTTACTGTAAATAACAAGTGAAAAAATGTTCAGCCTTATCAGTTGGACATTCCGGTTTTTAGACTGCTTTTTTTTAATTCACTAACGCTCTAAAAATGAATATTTCAGCCGCAGTAAAGAATCAACGTTGGCGGATTTTGGTTCTTGACATCCTTTACGATCGGTTACGATGCCTAGAGTACGGAGACCTGTACGATTTCGTCAACTCAGTGAGTTTGATAGGGGCCGTATAGTGGGACTTCGGGAAGCTGGACTTTCTTTTCGGGCAATTGCAGTTAGAGTGCAAAGAAGTGTAGACACTGTGGTTAGGTGTTGTCAGGCATGGCTTCGAGAAGGCCTTACGCAAAGAGCAAGGGGCACTGGATGCCGCCGTAGAACAACAGACCGTGAAGATCGCCGCCTAAGATTATTGGCCTTAAGGGACCGTTTCTCCACTACCAGGTCCATTGCAAATGAATGGTTTGCAGAACACGGAAGACCTATTTGCATGCGAAGTATTTACCGACGAATGAGAAGTTTTGGCTTGTTTTCATACCGGCCACGCTGGGTCCTCCCTTTAACTCGAGAACACCAACGTAATCGCCTTGACTGGTGCAGACAACGGTCACTCTGGGATCAGGAATGGAACAGTATTGTCTTTAGTGACGAGTCTCGATTTTGTATAGGCATGCACGATGGTCGTGCCAGGGTTAGAAGGCGACGTGGTGAAAGGAGGAATCCACAGTTTTTTGTTGAAAGACATGTTCATCACACTGTTGGAGTTATAGTTTGGGGTGCTATAGCTTATGATTCCAGGTCACCTTCAATCTTCATCAGAGGTAACATGAACGCGCAGCGTTATATCCACGAAGTTCTAGAACCCCATCTTTTACCCGATCTTGACACCCTGGCAGATCAAACTTTCCAACAAGATAATGCCCGACCACATGTTGCAAGAGTCACAATAGACTTCTTTCAACATAATGATGTCACATTGTTACCATGGCCACCAAGATCTCCCGACTTATCCCCAATTGAGCACGTGTGGGATATGATGGGTAGGAGATTGCTCAATTTGCAACGTCCTCCTCAGACTCTAGAAGCACTTCGAGAGGAGTTGGTGGTTGCCTGGAATGAGATACCACAGGAGGACATTGACCACCTGATCAGAAGCATGCCTAGGCGCGTTGGAGAATGCGTAGCACATCAGGGTGCATCCACAGATTATTAAAGGTCAAAGGGCTTTGAAGCAGTGCAATCATTTTGAAATTTTTATCATTTACTTATTATGCTTCATTAAGTACTTATACAAAATTTTATTAAAATAAAACCATTTAAACTGGGTGTTCGGATTTATATGTCACTTAGTATATTTATAATATGAAGAATACGGAGAGATATTATTCTCTGCTGAACTGAATGCATTCATAAAAATGTTTGATACACGTCAAAAGTTGTTACCAGAAACCTCAGAAACAACGCTCATTCTCTGCTGGTTATTCTACCTTCCTTGTTTTCGAGAATCGCCTTCGCGAAAGAATGATAAAGCAAAGCTATATATAAATAGCCGCAGGCTTGACTAGCCGAATCGAGCCATGTATCCAATTTAAATCAATCTAAAAGTGCACCAGACAAGAGGGATGTATCGCTAGCAGCCCGCACCCCATATATAACGTCGCGTCGGCGAGGCCTGACCCACTTAATACGATCCAGTTAACTGGATGAAGTAAATTATCTCAGGCGTCAGCTCTTTCCAGGTCGTCCTACGCCCTGAGGGATAATCTATCAGGATGTACAAGGTTCAAAAGCGCCGTAAAGGCGGCTGTTCCCTTGTTTGCCTGACAAGAAAGGGTTTTGTGCTGAAATTGAACCTGAGATTTGACTTAGATGAATTGCATTTTAAAATCCGGACCAACATTTTGTGCCATTAGATTGCAATCATAATGCTGCTTTCAAGAAGGTTTGTAGTACATATTAGTGAGTGTCCCTGAGTAACCGTTTCAGATATCTATTCTAGTCGTTCTATAATTATCTCATCAACAAAGCTGAGTAATCGAAATTGATGAAAGAAACTTTCACTCTGTACATACACTTTGCATCTCTCTCCTAAAGTCAATTCGTAGCCTTATGATAAATTAATCTAGATTATGGACATGTTGGGAACAAAGGCGCCAGACTTATCAGGTAATGACTCGCTGCCATAGGAACCGCAACTGATTTTTTCTGTTTATCCTGGAAATGGCATCAAATAGATGCACTCTATCCTTCCTACGCCTTTGTCGGAGGTTTCAAAGAAAATGAATGAGTCAAATCATTTCAAAAGGCGAAATCGAATCGTGATTATTTAAGTACTACCTAAATGATGGAACTATTCAGCTCACGATAATTTTCGAACTTTGGTTTACAAGTTCTTTGTTGCTTAAAGATATCTGTATCACACGAGGCCGTGTTTCTCATTTATGTCGGTTTGCCAGTCCGTGTCTGTTGTAGATCAATGCATCATAAGTACTAAGTCAATCTACTTGACGAAATATTCAGAGAACCATAACGAAACTCAAAAATATATGCGTAGATACAAAAACAGCTAAGTCATCTTTTACCAAAGCACCGCAGAGCACTAAAGTTGTACGTAATACGATAATATCCAAATATTGCTAAAATCTATAAATATTTCTCCTGTAGCGGAGTGTAAGTGACGACTTCATCGCAGACCAGTAGGACTGTTACCCATTGCACAGTCGTCAGCGATCTCCACGACGCGACGGTGCAGCAACGCACGTACGCGCAACGCCAACGATAGCCAAGTTATTATAACACTTGTCAACAAAATTTTAACTTTGTCGTGCCACACGGACTTTTTTGATATTTTTTTACTTTAATTGGTGAATGTAAGAAAAAATAAACAGTTAAACTAGACAAGGATTTTATTCTATTGAGTAATTTAAAATATTAAGAAAAAACACAGATCTCGTAAATCAAAAGTTATTTTTTTTATAAATGACTTAATAATCTAAGATTTTCTTGAATATTTAGCTTCTGGTTGGTCCCTTTTAATTGTCCAGCAGTAATCTGCTAACATATTTGGGCTGCCATTTGCCATTTGCTTTTCCATATTAGAAATGTCCTGATGGAACCTCTCACCGTGCTCGTCGCTGACAGCCCCTAAATTGTCAGGAAAAAAATCCAGGTGCCAGTCTAAAAATTGGATCTAAAATGACATG